CTGGGGGGGGTCTCCTGCCCGGGGGCTGCGGGGGGGCAACCAGCTCAGAGATGAGCTCATGGAAATGATTTTTATCCACTCTTAATCCCCTCTTTAAGAGAAAAACAACAGCAATTTTAGTTTTCCTCTGCATTTTGCACCCCCCAATCCTCCCTGGTGCAGCGAGGGGCACGGGGGCCGGTGTGACCCCACTCCCTGCCTGCCCCTGCCCAATTTCCGAGCCCCCTGAGCAGCTCCTGCCTGCCCTGATCAAGGGGTGAAGGTCTCCACAATTCCATGCGCCGGAAAGTTTAGTGGGAACCGGGAGAGCCGGCCAGGACCTGAGCTCAACCGCAGTATTAGACACCAGAGAATCCCCTCTAGTGTGTGCCAGGGGGGTTGCGGTGCTGAGCCGGCGGCTGAGCCGGGTCCCGGTGCATCCCTGCAGGGTGCAGGGGCTGCGGGGAGCGAGGGGCTGGGGGCCGCCCTCAGCCCGGGCAACGTGGAGGAGCTGTACGAGCTGCTGGAGAGGTTGGGCAGGTGAGTGGGGTGCAGGCAGGGATCCTGCCTGCAACGGGGTCCCGGAGGCAGCCGGACGCCTGGGTTGTCCCCGCCGGCCATGCCCCAAGTCCGGCTTCTCGCCACAGCGGGCACTTTGGCGTGGTGAAGCGATGCCGGGAACGCAGCACCGGCACCTTCTACGCTGCCAAGTTCGTGAAGACGCGGCGATGCCGGGGCAGCCGCCTGGGGCTGGAGCGGGCGCAGGTGGAGCGGGAGGTCGCCATCCTCCGCCAGCTCGACCACCCCAACATCATGCGGCTCCACGACCTCTTCGCCAGCAGAGCTGAGATGGTGCTCATCCTGGAGCTGTGAGTGGGGGTCCCGGGGCGGGGGGACCCCCTTTTTGCGCCGTGTGTTGGAGGTGGCCGAGCTCACCCTGCCCTCGCCCCGCGCAGGATCGGCGGCGGGGAGCTCTTCGACTTCATCGCGGAGAAGGAGATGCTGTTGGAGGAGGAGGCCATCGAGTTCCTGGGCCAGATCCTGCGCGGGGTGGAGTACCTGCACGCCCGCCGCATCGCCCACTTCGACCTCAAGGTGCCCGCGGGGACCCCCCCCATCCTCGCTTCTATCCCGGGGCTGCATCCCCCCACTGCCGGGCACCTCCGGAGCCCTGGCCACATCCTGCCCGGCTTCCCGGGATGCCGCTGTCCTCTCCGGGGCAGTGCCCGCCAGTCACCCCCCGTCACCCCGCTGTGCCCGGCCTCGTCCCCGCAGCCCGAGAACATCATGCTGCAGGAGAAAGACGTCCCCAAGCCCCGGATCAAGATCATCGACTTCGGGCTGGCCCAGCACCTGGAGGACGGTGTCACCTTCAAGAGCCTCTGCGGGACCCCGCAGTACATTGGTACGGGGCTGCCGGGTCCCCGGGGGGTCCCGGGGGGTCGCCGAGCAGCCCTGCTCCGTGGGGTGCAGCTGGGATGTCCTGCAGGGACAGGGCAAAGGGACCCCCGGGGTGGGGACGGGACCCAGGTGGCCGGGATGGTGCTGTCCCCTCTAATGTCCCCCCCCCCCGGCTCTGCGTTCACCCCCAGCTCCCGAAGTGATCAACTATGAGCCGCTGAGCTCCGCGACCGACATGTGGTGAGGAGCGGGGACCCGGGGGCGATGGGCTGAGCCAGGGGGTGGGTGGGGACCCCCTGGGTGCCACGGGCACGGGGGGGACCCCGGGGAGGGCAGTGCCTGACCCCCACCTCTGCCTTTCAGGAGCATCGGGGTCATCACCTACATCCTGTGAGTACAGGGCGCTGCTCCCTGCGGCCGGGGGAAACTGAGGCATGGGGACAGTGTGACATGGCCGAGCCCGGGGGCTGGGGTGGCCGAGCCGGTGCTGTCCCAGCACTCAGTGGCTCTGTCGTGTCCCCGCAGGCTCAGCGGCTTGTCCCCCTTCCAGGGTGAGACGGATGCCGAGACCCTCTCCAACGTCGTGGCCGGTGCCTATGAGTTCGAGGAGCACTGCTTCAGCCAGACCTCTGAGATGGCCAAGGACTTCATCCAGCAGCTGCTGGTGAAGGAGCCAGGGTGAGTCCCCATCTCCATCTCCATCATTCCCATCCCCATTCCCAACCCCATCTCCATGCAATCTCCATCATCCCCAGCCCCACCCCATCTCCATCCATCCCATCTCCATCCCAGCCCCATCCCATCTCCATCATCCCCATCACCACCTTCATCCCACCTCCATCCCCGTCCCCATCCCATCCCCATCCCTATCCCATCTCCATCATCCCCATCCCCATCCCATCCCCATCCCCATCCCCATCCCCATCCCCATCCCCATCATCTCCATCCCATGGTGGATACAGTGGGGCGGGGCCCCCCCCCCC